CCACATACAGGCCCTAGAACAAGTAAAAATGGTTGAAAAGTCTACTTTTTGAAAAATTGCAAAACATAGAAAACAACCCATAATACCAAGAGCTATTCCAAAATCACCTTGATCGTTGGGTTAACTTCAGTAGAGTCACAAAAACGAGTTATAATTGCACTATCATAGTTTGCAATTGCACTTGGGCCACCGTGCCTGGCCAGATAGCCGGGTTGTGTATCCTTTTTTTTTTGTTTATTTTTACAAGCCGGGAAAAGGGCCTGACGTCCCGTCCAAAAAGTGGGCGGACCACCCAATAGAGCACGGCATCACCGCCCGGGTCCAAAAGGATGTCCGCGGCATCTGTACTGCCAGCTGGCCCATAGTCCAAATTATAACTCATTTGTGTGACTCCCGCATAGTTTCCCCTTTATTGTTTTATATGCTTGTTCTCGATTTCTGTCCCTAGATTACGAAGATCAACGGCCAGAAATGAAGAATCCAAGCTATTGAGACCTGGCCCCTACCGTCTTTTTTCTTTTTCCCCCGGACATGACGCACCCTGATAATGAATGCATACAAGACATCTTTCCAGTTCGGTGCAGGCAAAATGAGGGTACTTTGTGTTCTGGGAGAAAGACGGTAGTGGGGCGTGCCCCTGTTATGCTATATGCTATGGAGGCTGCTTGAGTATGTATGTGTGTGTGTGTGTGTGTGTGTGTGTGTGTGTGCATTTTTTTTTTCTTTTTTTCTTTTTTCATTCGTGTAAAAGACTGGCTCCTCGTAATTCAGGAGCTCGTTCATCTACCGGTAGTCCTGGGGCGAGGTCCCACTAGCAACGTGGATTGGATTGAACGCCAGAATGTAGACGTGTTCCTGGAAAAGTGCAGAAAAAATCGAGATTGAACAGCTTTTCTGCATCTTTCCGTAAAACACGTCCAGATTCAGGAGCTAAATCCAATCCCGTTCGCTAATGGGACCTAGGCCCAGGAGTCGAACACAGGTCTGCATTTCGACAGTTTCTGGGTGCACCAACTGAGGGCATACTCACACTACGACTTTTTTACGTATTTTTGTATGGAATTACGGCCAGATACATCCAGGTATGGCCGTAAATGCGGCATACATTTTAGATACTGCTCTGTGTGAGTACGCCCTGAGGCCCAGAAGTGGCGCTGACTTCTTTCCTTTTTTTTTTCCCTTTTTTTTTTTTTGGTTCTACGAAACATCTGCAGCAGCGACCCGACGTTATTATTTTTTATTTTTATTTTTAAGAAACCTGACATTATTCACCTGCATCTCATGTAATTAGTTTCGCATTAATTTCGTCAGGTTTGAACTCACGACGGTTTGTGACTACCGTCTTCCCCCGAGCACAGCACACCCTTAATTTGGCCGTATGTGGCCGGAAATATAGCTTGTATACATTCATTTTTAGAGTGCGTTATGTTCGGGGGAAGACGGTAGCATTCAGCGACATACGTCTACCATTCAGGTATATCACGCCGTGGCAGGGCGCTTCGGTGAGTACTGTACTGAGTACTCTTTTTTTTTTTTTTTTTTTTTTTTACTCAATACTGTTTAGCTGAAGCGAGGGGCCATAGGGCCTCGCGGCACTACTCTCGAAATGTGCAAAACGAGAGTGAATCTACCGCTAGAGGATGGGAAGATACACCGCCATGATTTTTGTCTTTTATGCATGTCGAGAGTAGTGGAGCGAGGCCCATACTCACACCAGGAAGAACCTTTCTTCCAAGCTCTGGACGTGATTGTCGTCAGATTTGTCCGTTTGTGGCCGTCATTTGCGGTCAGATACATTAAGGAAAGTGTGCTACCTATAGGTCGTGTGTGACTACGCCCGCAATCTCTATCTACCTACCAAATAGAAGTGTGCCGCTTTGGGAGGAGAGAAGACTCGGAAGTTGACGTCAACACCATTTACCCCCGTGGTTCAGGAGCCTGTAATCGGGAAAGGAAGTTCCGCGAAGGTTGGAGAGAGAGAGAGAGAGAGAGAGAGAGAGAGAGAATAGGAGAATGGCATTCGTACTGCACGGAGGAGGGAGGAAGGAGGAGGGAGGAAGTTTTATCCTTTTGTGCTCATTGTCGTTGCTGATAAAAAGTCCGGGTTTCCCTCACGTGGTGGACAAGCTACGTGCTCGTCATTTTCGCCGCCACGTGTCAATTACGTGTTGGTCACTGGATACGTCTCCGTTGCGTTCTCTGTCGGCCATCTGGTAATATACGTAGTAGTTGATGTCGTAGGGAGACCCCGACCGATCGCCCTGTCGGGACCGGATTGTCTTTGTCTTTTTTTTGGGCAAATGTCGAGAGAGGACTATAGTAGCAGCTCTTGACCTCTCGTCAGTCCCTAGGGAGACCCTACCCCCCCGATCGCCATGTCGGGACCGGGTCTTGCCTCGTCACTGTGACGTGCCACGTGGCACGTCGTTGTTGTTGTTCTTGTTGCGTGTACCCGCCACCGCCGCCGCCGACGCCACCGCCACGTGTCCCCACCTCTGCCCCCCGCTTATTCGACAGAGAAAGAACAGCTTACTTGCTCGTTGTACGCAGAACGTCTCTCCAGTCGATGAACACGTGTCCACCTCTCCGCCCCGACGCCGACGCCGCGACGTGTCCACCTCAGAGGGAAGAACGTCTCTCCGTCTGCCAGTTGGTGTAATATCAGTCGGTTTTGCCTGATGACCCGGGGGTCTAAATTGTTTCTTTCCTGATTAGGTGGGTTAGGTCGGGTCAGTAGTTGTTTCCGTGTTCATCGACTGGAAGCTGGTTGTTGATGGAACTGAAAAAAATTCCTGATTAGTGAGTCTAGTAGTTTCCTGATTAGAGCAGTCCGTCGTCACAGTCTAATCGGGACAGCATCCCTGCTGGAAAGAGAGCAATAAAAGTGTATCCGCATAAGCCGCACTGCCACGTGGCATTGGTTAGCGAGCACTGCCACGTGGCATCGGTTGGCGAGCACTGCCACGTGGCATCGGTTGGCGAGCACTGCCACGTGGCATCGGTGGTTGTGAGCAGGAGACGTCAGCGGCAGAGGTGGAGTTGGTGTGTGTAGGGAGACATCAGTGGAGAGGTGGAGGTGGTGTTGGGAGACATCAGCAGGAGCAGGGGAGGCGGAGGATCTCTCTCTCTCTCTCTCTCTCTCTCTCTTCGTTCTCCTCCAATCTGGGCTCTCCAACGATACCGGTTTTCTTTCGTCTGCCTCGTTGGTTAATTGGATGTTCTATTATTAGCAAGGGGAGGGTTAATCCTGTTGTTGGCCACGTGGCACAACCAACAGGTGGGGAACAGGACAGCAGGACAACGACACGTGTCCGTTAACGAGATCTGCTGAGAATGACGGTGGATATGGCTGGGAGACAGTGCTGACCTGTCACGTGGCACATTTTTGCGCAGTAAGACGGCGGTGTGCATCTTGGCGGGGCGGGGGGGGGGGGGGGGGGGGGGGGGGGGGGGGGTGCCAGTTGTCATTGTTATGCAGATGCGACGTGGGCGTGACGTGGACAGTCGACTTTGGACACGTCGGGGTTGGCGGTGTTATCTCGATGCCACGTGGGCGCCACGTGGACGGTCAAGTTTTGCGTATGATTACGTAGAGGAGCTTGAGGAGGAGGCGGGAGGAGGTGGAGAAGGGCAACGGCGGCCCCTGTGAAGCTCTTTCACGATTCATCGACGAACGGCCGGGCAGATTACAAGGGTTTGGGAGAAGGAGGAGGTAGAGAGAGGGTAGGAGAAAAAGAGGAGGGAGATCGAGGGAGGAAGGGCATACTCGCACTCGGGAAGTTTTTGAACGGTATCTGGACGTCATTGCGGTCCGATGCATCCCGGAGCTGATGCGGGTGGATGATCTTTGGTGCGATCA